GTACAAAACAGTAAGCTCTTACAATATTTGAAAATGGTTGAAAAGACTACATTTTTGTGATGTTCGAAAGTTGTAGTAAATTTACATCTGTAAAAGTGTATTCCATGCATATGTACATGGAAGAAACGAACAGTAAACCTTAATGCTACTCGAAAACGGCTAATAGCACGTAATGTACCTTTCTGTCTTAAAATATAAATGTACTTGAAAAGATATGGTAAATTTACATACTGTGAAAGTGTACTACAAAAGTAATATAATATATTCACACGCTGTAAAAGTGCACTCTATAATTTCTGAAGTTCGTTTTACTTGATGATAAATAGAAGTATCTATTATATATTATTATTTTTTTAATGACCGATCGTAAGCGCGGTTTGTACGAAATAATTGATTCATTTTTAATAGCGTTATTAAGTCATAGCTACTTTATAACTTAACATTAAAAATGCATATTAAATTTAACGAATTAATCAGTTTCGCATTAGCGTGCTGTAAAAGTGTTTTTATTTTCCGTTTTGCTAATTGCAGGTAGATAATTAATGCTCAGTACTTAAATAACTTCATTCGAGTTGACCTTATGATTGGATGCATTAGCAGTTCTTAATGTTTTTTGTCTGTTTTACGTCAAAATGCAGCTAACATAGTGATTTTTTAATCATTAATAAAAAATAAAATGTATATCATTACGTACGATGGATAGCCATAACAAAATTGGTTTGACATTGCGCCGATGTACAGGGTGTATCGTGTGCACTTCTCCTTTGGCCTCTAGCATAGAACAACAATTTACCCCGTACATATATACCATTAAATAATTGGCCTTTTAAAAGGAACGGGTCCTGTGAATGGAATTTATATCGAATTACGACTCGGTATATCAGCGTTATGTTTTCAATTTTTCTTTTATATTTGATACCCGTGAATGTTAATCCTCGCGAGGTTTAATCCCCAACTTCCCGTCTCAAAGCGGGAGGAAGGCCAGGGTCCCTCTAATCCCGGCTTCCTCTAATTCCCTACCTTCAGCTTAATCCAGCTTTAACTGGCCTACCAATGGCACGCAGTGCCGTGCTCGGGGGGTCTAATAAGAACGATAAAGAATGGGGCACCCCGTCGCCCGGAACAAATAAAATGTTACGGCGAAATTAAAATTTTGCCGGGTAAGGACGACAGTAGACCAGGGCGGATCTGTCGGAATATCCCACTTCTTGGATGTAAGAGGGGGCAAGCCCATTTTTGCTGGAATAAGTAAAAAACTCGGATAAAATAGGTATTTTTTAAAATTTTTTAAACATTTTTGCAATTTTTAGAGAAAAATGTTTTAGAGAAAAGTTGTAGAACTTTTTATAACAAAAGTTTTGAGCACAACCCGATGTCAATTGATAAACAAATGTATTAGTTATTGCTAAACGGCTAAAAATCGCATTTTTTTTTAAACTTCTATATCTTTAAAACGAAAAAAGATTTTTCTAGGAAACTTTCAGAATATGTGGTCCTTGGCAAGTAGAAGAATAGTTTTTGCAAAAATTGAGTTCTTCGAAAAAAATGACATTTAATTTTGAGTTTCAATAAATCATATTACGTGACTCATCTTGGGCTTGAAATTTTCTCAAAGAGTTGTACTTTCCTGTGCAAATTGTGCGCGTATTGCAAAATAATTGGAAATATGCGAAAAATCTACCGAAACTTTGACTTCTTTTTTCGGGTCGAAAAATGTAGATCTTTCTCTTATCGTTGAAATTTAATCGGAATGGCATTATTGCCATTTGAAACCTGACAATTTTTTACGAATTAAAAAAAAATATCCTACGACCAACAGAAGCCATTGAATGTTTAGTTTTTTTTTTAATGAAAAAAACTGTTTTTCTACAAACTTTGGACGCCATTTTGAATTTTTACGTGTCTTTGTTTACTGAACTAAATTTTGGTACGTACAAATCTAATTTGATTAGACTATAGCTTGGAAATACTTCTTTCGTGTGACATTCGTCCAATAGGCAATCAGTAGGTTATTGTTAAAAGCGTATGTTTATTTCTATCTTTTGGAATAAATTGCTTGAATTTTAAAGGATTAAGCAAATGCATTACGGTCACTATTTTACGTTAAACATATAAAATTCCTCAGTCTGAAACATAGAAACGTTTTTTTAGACAAACGCAGTTTCTTTATATTTCGATTAATTAAAAAGATCGGTAAAAATTTGTTTGATTTGAAAGAGCAGTAAAATTTAACTTTATTTTGATCTATTCAAAAGGTTAATAAAATCTCGATTGATTCAGAAGATCAGAAGTCGAACTAAATTATTCAATTTATTTTAACTGTTATGGGACTTGAATATACCAAAAATAGTGCAACGTGTAGGGGGCAACCGAGCCCTGCGGAAATGTCCAGTCGCCGACGCTGCGGGATTTCGATTCAGCTACTACTCTGATTCGGCTAACTTGCATGGCATATGGGCAAACGGACTGCATACCTGATCCGATCACTGAATGTTTTTGGTACGGGGAGTACCCGCTACCCAGTGCAGCCGTTTCATCAATCATGAGAAGATAATCTGCTTAACGCCACACTATCCGCTTCAATCCGACCCACCGGGGGCGACCAGGGGAAAGGATTGCCATCGTCGCCGGGATTAGTCGGCTGCTTCTCACAATAAAACGGCCGAATTGGCCGGCTTCAGGTGATATGATATCCGAAAGGATTTGATATCGACGGATATTGCTGATGTCACGCCAGCCGAGAAATCGTTCCATTACAGCCAAAATTTGATGTCGTACTGCCGATTTGAGGCATGGAAAACAATGTACGTACACACGCTCTAACAAAAATTTAATACAATATTGTTTATAAACAAACATAATAAGAAGAGTCTCCAATAAGATCCCTGAGGTAATACTATTACGTTATTATTATCATTTTGCGTATTAGCTGTAAAATCAATTCAAAACTGAGTTGAAAGTGTGATATGCAATACATATCATGACAGAATCATCAGGTATTAATACAATCGTTTCGAAACTGCGCTAAAAAGTTTGATACGAAATAAATATAATATTATAAATAAACAGGATAAGATGGGGCTCACGTAAGACCCCTGAGGTATTCCTATTAGGTCACTGTTATTTTTTATTGTGTTATCGGTAATACAGGATGTCTCAAACTCCATAGTATTTGCCTACTGAGGATACAAAAAATTTAAATAAAATTTGGGACAGGTGGTGTTAAATGGGATGAGGTAAGCTCCATTTTCAATTGAAAGTACTTTCGAAATTTTTTTTCATGTTAAAAAGCTCTCTTTTTTCTAATAAACTTTTATTAAAGAAATTTTTCTTTATTACTTCCCGTTTAAAAGTTATAAGCAACATTGTCCTAAAGAGTCTCAAAAGAAATACCACCTAAAAATCACATTAGCGGTGGAAGGATCAAGTAGTCTTTGGAAAATAATTAAATGTTCTTTGTTTAAAGTACATAAATGTCACAAAATACTTGTCATTCCTCAATACGAAAAACGTATAACTTTGTGCTTACAAAATGTTTTCTCATTCAGAAAAAGTTGATATGTTGCTAATTTACGGCGAGTCACAAAAAAATTCAAGAAGAGTTGTAGAGTTATGTCGAGAAAGGTATCCAGGTACGCTACAATTACATTTAGTACCTGCCCCAATAAATATATTTTGCTTTCTGGGAATTTACGAGCCATATAAATTATACTTTGAATTATCCGAGATTATCCCAAATAAATGTATTTAGCAAATGAGATTATAATAAGTAGGCTGTAAACATAAATTAGTTGTTGTTTATAAGGGTACATAAGCACAAACCGAGTAGGTAATGACCCGGATAAGTGTTAATTAGGATAGGGTAACAAAATTAGGTACCTGGGGACAAGGATAAAACCGAAAACATTTCGAGGCACGAAGCAGAAGTCTTGAAGACTAGTTCCTGCTCGGTTGTGTCTCGTGTTACCAGCGAAATTAGTAGAATAAAGTTTTCCACGCTACTTAGTTTTTCTCCTCACTTGAAGACCAAACCACTATAGCCTCATTCCAGATCATAGAACCTTTACAAGATTGGAGGCGACCTTGCGACGAAATGAAGATGCATTTTCTGTTAGGAAAAATCAAATAATTGACCGAAGGGTAAGAAACAATGTTAAAACAGCTAGACTGTTACAGTATTTTGAACAAAATCCACGAATTTCTATACGGCAGGCTAGCCGGGAATTTAATTTGGATAAATCAACAGTTCAACGAATTTAAGACCAATGGGTATCATGACTACAAAATTCACAATTTGGAGTATTTGCCTGAGCGTCACATTGAAAACAGACTTAATTTTATAGCTCAAATTGTAGGAAATATAGAAACTGTTGATCAGAACCTTTTTCGGCAAGTTGTTCGGACGGACGAAAGTCGGTTTGTCAGTAAAAACTAAATTGCAAATTGATAAATGTAATCTAATTGTTTAAAAATAAAAAAAAAGAGTGTTAACTTTAAAAATTTACTGTGGCCGTCCTAATCAACCGATTTCAATTTTTCAAAAACCATTTGAAAGGTTGAGCGGTCTTTTCTGTGTGAAAAATTTTTCAAGTATCTAGATGCTTTATTTGAGGCTGTGCAACATTTTGAAAATTCGAATTTTTCGAAAAATTATTTTGCGAAAACTATCGAACCGATTTTAATTAAATTTGGTATGTTGTTTTATTATACTCTAAAGTTTTCTTTACCAAAATTAGAATGCCCTCGGAGCAGTTGAAATATTTAAAAAAAATTATCCAAAAAACTTGATTATTTTGCCTTTTTTCAACAATTATTGTTATTTTGCAACATGGGTAGACACCCTGTACAAATTGGAAACGGTGTTAAAGTACATATCGTTGCGTTATTTATAAACAAATAGGATAAGATATATTATCGTAATTATCCTTACAAATTCGCATAAAAAAAACATGTACTCTCGTCGAGCGTGATTTATTTATGTGTATATTAAAATGTCTTACCGGAAGGTGAGGACTTGGAGGGGTCAAACTCTTCTTTCACCGACTGGGGGGAGACGGTATTCTCTAGCGGGGTCGAAGATCGAGCCGGAGCAGGAGTTAGGACCCTTTCGGCGGATTCTCGGCTTGACCTCTCAGTGGCGGCAGTCGTTGGTGTCGGGGGCGGCGTTTTACAGTTACGAGTTAGCGCTAGGGCCTGACTCTGTAATGAGAGAATGAGAGAATCAGACGGTTAGCCTCTTAATTTGATACTTTCCTGAAAAATGACGGGTCATTTAAAATAGAATCGCTTTTTATTTAAAAAGTGCTGCAAGTGTCGATCATTCCGAAACTGTTCTTTTTTTAAATCGCAAGTGCAGTAAAAATATAATCGGTACTCACTTATGCGAATGTTTCGGTTTTTCATTGAAGCCTTCCTCAAGACGTTAGTTTTATCGATTAGTAGCGTTGGTCATTTGTCTAAATTTTAGAATCGAGTAGGGAGTTGTTCTTCAATGAAATTTATTGTTATTGCAATGGAAAGTGCAGCAAAATTTGATGAATTGAAAGTGTAGTAAATTTTATGAATATCCATTTACGTGGACCTTTGGCGTAACACATTAATATTACTGACATCGTGTTGGTAATGCCATTCATTGACACATTGAACTATTTGTAGAGTTGTGCGAGTCTATGACTTTAATCTGAACGTAAATCGATGAGCAAAAATAATGTCTCGTTGCAACCCTAATTTGATGCGTCGCACAAATCTGGCTAGTTGCTAGCCTACAGTTAGCGCGTTTAATCTGGGTTAAGTGGGGTCAAAAAGCAACAGAATTCCTGAATGTTATATCTATCAAGTGTTACTGCAATTGGGCACACGTCTGATTTGTGATTTGATGGAAAAATTACTAATCAAATGATATAAGCTAATCTACGCCTTGGCAGTACTTTTCCTAAGATGTTTTATCTAATAAGCTTACTATCTTTTAGTAAATTAATTTTCCAATTTTTTTCGCTATACTTTCCAATTTTTTTTCCCGTTATATTTGTGTCTTTTAATTAAAGTATACAGACGTAAAACGTGGTTTTGCTTTAACGTAAAACGAAATGCTAAAATACGGCTAATAAACACTGATGTCTTCGGCTTGAGTACAGGTTTTACGATACGCCCGGTAAGTAAAATACGTGGAGGCTTAAGACCCGAAAAAATATACGTTGTATGAAAATTTAATCCACTGAAGTATACGAACGAAGATTATTTCTGTAAGTCTTGCAGAGTTGAGGTTGATGAGCTTATTTAATTTCAAAGACTAAGAATACAGCTTAAAAAAACGGGCATCCAAATGCTTGTTATATGCGGATTAAAGGAATTATATGAGTCATGCAGATTTAGTTTTAGATCTTCTTATATCTGAGAATACAGAAAATGTACGGGCATTATATGGGGGAGAGTTAAGAATCCAACGGTAGGGTTATCGAGTTTACAATTGCCCTTTGTATCTCTTTCGCTTTTAAACATTTCGCAAAGTTGCCACGTCGTTTGCTGGGGTACTACACTTGTTCTGATCGCCATTGTCATTTTCAGGCATCGTACTGAACAATAAATGTTTACTTCCGCGATTATATTATACGGGGTGATTCACAAAATGAATTCTTTGGTGAAATTTGAAATTGGGCACGTGTATTTATGTAAACATTGTCGAAATTCTGAGGGCTTTTCCTCCACTGGCGGGGAAACAGGGTATTGGTGGCATATTTTTCTAAATAAAATAGTACGCCACTGCTTTCAATTTTCTACAAATTACTACTCTCTTATGCACTTCTAAATGCAAATATCACAGAAACCGATAAAGTTAGGCGACCTAAACAAGAGTACATTTTTTATGTAGAATTAAACGTTCTTTTAAATTTTTAACTTTTTTTAAGCATAGCTCAACAGATAAAAAATATGTTTTGATTTACCTAAATAATACGGTGAAACTAGCGCCCTCTAGGAGCAACGTCAAAATAAGCTTCAAATTCGTGATTCTCACATCAAAAAACCCAACACTACCAATTTTCAGAGTCGTGCTATCAAAACTTTCTCAATTACCGAGGAGAAATTTCAGAGTAAAATTTAAACCTTGAACACCCTGTATTTCTTAAACCAGTGACATTGGTATAAGGCATGTTGAGCTCAAACATAATATTTTTGTGTCTAGTATCTCCAGCTTAGTGTTGACCCAATCTGTCAGACTCACGCTGTATATATATAGAGAAGGGGGAAAATAGAAAATCTCTTGACATCTTATGGTTTCAAAATGTGTTAACACGTACAACTACACAAAATATAATACTGTTTAAAGTTTAGAGAATACCAAGAGCAGACAAATAACAATGTATTTATTTTTGACAAATTTTATGAAAATTAAATTATTGTATCCTTTTACTAAATTTTAGTTTTTAACGTTAATTAAATAATAAAACATTAAATGTCAAAGAGTAACATGGTATGCCGTGTAAATATTAAAACTCACAATATAATTAAATAATATCGAGTTACGTAAATACAAACATAAAATGACGCTAAAAAAGTTATCAGTGCTTGGTAAAAAAGGATTCAAGTCTCTTTAATCATCGGCAGGAATATGCGTACCTAAATACACTGGATAAAATTCTCAATATTAGGCGACATTTTAATAATTTTGATTAGAAAAAACTGTTTGGAGTTCGGTATAGACTTTAATAAGTTTAGTTGTGAAGTGGTGTTAAGTGTTTTTGTCGCTTGTTTAAAAATACGCTGTGTTTAGTGAAGAGTGGATTTTGAGGTTATGTTTTAAACTTCCGAACACCGAAAGGGTAAGGTATGTTAAAATAAATCCTAAGATATCCCAAAATTGTTTCAAATTTGTTGTTTTTTTTTAAATTTTCGTTTTCTAAATTACAAATATTTTCTTATACAAACGTTTGTTTGCCCCTGAGGTTTTTGTTCTCAGATTTAGCTTTAAAAAGTATATTCAAATTCAGTGCGAAAAAATTAAATTTCAACGCGAAAATATATGTTTTTTTAAAAACTAACACTTCTTTCCTCAAAAACAAAAGATTTAAGCGTAAATTTCTATATAAGAAAATATGTTTAAATTAGAAAACGGTTAATTATGTAATTTTGTCTGTAGTTTTAAATTTTCTGATAAAGTTTATGATTATTTGAAATCGACGGTATCGCAAAATTCGATGACTCGAAAGTGTAGTGAAATATGACGTATTCACTTATGCGCACGTTTCGGTTTACATTAAACCTGCCTCAAGGGACTACAACATTAATATTATTCACAAAGAGTTTGTGCATACAAAATTTCGTTTCACTGTCTCAAAGAGTGTGGAATATTTTCAAATATATGTTTTTTTAAAAATTAACACTGCTTCAAAAACAAAATCTTTAAGGGTAAATTTTTATATAAGAAAATATGTTTAAATTAGAAAAAGGTTAATTATGTAATTTGGTCTGCAGTTTTAAATTTCCTGATAAAGTTATAATTATTCGAAATCGACAGTATCGCAAAATTCGATGACTCGAAAGTGTAGTGAAATATGATGTATTCACTTATGCGCACGTTTCGGCTTTCCTCAACAACATTAATATTATTTACAAAGAGTTTGTGCATACAAAATTTCGTTTCACTATCTAAAATTTATTATTATTTGAAATCGACAGTATAGCAAAACCCGATGACTCGAAAGTGTAGTGAAATATGACGTAATTCACTTATGCGCACGTTTCGGCTTACATTAAGCTTTCCTCAACAACATTAATATTATTTACAAAGAGTTTGTGCATACAAAATTTCGTTTCACTGTCTAAAATTTATTATTATTTGAAATCGACAGTATAGCAAAATCCGATGACTCGAAAGTGTAGTAAAATATGATGTATTCACTTATGCGCACGTTTCGGTTTACATTAAGCTTTCCTTAAGGGACTACAACATTTGTACATACAAATTTCGTTTCACTGTCTTAATTCGTGTTGATGATATTTGGAGATTAACTTTAACACTCTCTATTTCAAAAACGAGAGCTTTTGATATGACGTTGTTTTATCTGGAACACCAAACATGCTTATCTGAAAGTGTGGTTAATATAACAATATTAACCACACTTTCAAATAAGTATGTTTTACTGTAAATAGGTAACGTGTCCGTTTCCGCGTACCTGCAGTCGCGTACACATCGAAAAGATCGGCCGAAGGCCGATAAATGGGGTGATATAGCAGACTTAGGAATCTGCCTCAGTTTTGGTACAAGTGCATTGAATGACAGGTCGGCTATACTTCAACTTCTACGAATTGGCTGTGCAAAAACTGCCAGCAGTTGTGTAAGTATGCAGGGCCACAGAATAAGATCATCGACCTGTTCGCCAGGCTATCTCTGTCGGTGCTGAGGTGCCGAAACTGCACTGTTCAAATGTTCAGTGTTTCAGTCCAGTGTCTACGAGTGTGTCCACTAAGTGCAATCTTCTGCACTTTGCCGGCTATTTGCTGATAAGCGCTGTCGCTGCCGCTAAAATCGCGAATCAATTTCGGCCGCACCCGCAGCGCGCACTGGCTACCGGAAGTTTGTTCCTTCGCTTCTTACCGGTAACTGAAGCGTTTTGCTTAAAAATTAGTACTTGCTCTTCGCATCGATGAGAATGCTAAAATTTCCTGACGGGATATGTAATATTTACACGGCTTTACATCTTAAACTTTATACATAAGATAAGCAAAAACAGTAGTAAGGAAGATCACGGTATTGTTTCAGCGATAACTGGATAATATAATATTTGATCTTATTTTGATTAAGTTTTTTATGACCCTAATTTTACTGACAAAACAGCTTAAGCAACAGATAATTTTGAAGCTTTATCTTTAGCCAAATCATTGTATTACGAACAAAATTCTGAAATGCGTCATTCTTTTTTCTTCATAAATACTGGAAACTTCTTATTTTATAAATATTGTAATTAATAAAATAACAATTTCATAGTTTGCATTCAAAAGAATTTTATGTAAAATTATAAAATTATGATTTATATTATTATGGTCTCATACATCGAAAACTTACTTTGCTTTACTTCAGAAATAAAAAAAATATGTAAAAATAAACATTAGATCTCAAAGAAATATATAAAAAAAAACAACTGCATAAAGAAATGCGCAGTTGTCTTTTATGTGTCTTTGAGATCCTAAAACTTTGATATATA